GTATTTGATCTAGGCATTTGTCCACTCATTTAACATGTGGTGTTGAACTGGTATGGAGCTCCCGCTCTCATGGGTGCTTCCCCATCTGGGTTATGTGACCCCAGAGTGTTCCTTGTGTGGCACTGGGTTGGGGTTTGGAGGGCCCCATGCCTCAGGTCTAAGTATCAGCACTAAGCCCTGGGTTGCTCATCAGATCAAGCCACGTTTATAAATAAATCATATGCCTGGGAGGCAAAGTGTTAGGAAATCCTAGGGGCCAAGTAGATGGCTCAGTGGAACAAGTGCTTCCCTGGCAAGCACAAGGGCCTGAGTTCAATCCCCAGTTCCGCAAAAAAAAAAAAAAAGCGCAGTGAAAGTGTTAGGAAATCCTAGAAGAGGAAGCTACTGCTTCTGGTGGAAGAGATGACATTTGAGCTGGGTGTTTAAAAAAAGTAATAATCAGGGTAGGCAAGAGGGGTGACAGTAGGACAGGAGGGCCCCAAGTTCAAGGCTATCCTGGGCAACTTAGCAAGAAAACTCAGGGGGCACATGGCACATTCACTTTTTTTAAAAAAATGTGTTTGATATAGGGTCTCACTACACAGCTCCAACTCATAGTGATCCTCCTATTTTCAACCTCCCCAGCACTGGGATTACAGTTGTGCACCACCACACCCAAACTCAGCTAGTCCCGGGGGACAGAGCTGGTGCCACATGCGGGACCAGATCAAACCCCGGTCCCTGCACTTGCCAAAGCAGGAGCTTAGTTCACTGAGCTATCTTACTGGTCCCACATTCACATTTTAAGGGAAGTTTTCCAACGGGAGCAGAGTGGGATGAGGAATGAGAATTAGAACAAGCTATCACTATGATCTCAAGCTAATAATTTGGGGCTGGTGAACTTTTCTCAGAACACTCCCTTTACCCAGCCCTGCCAGGCAGGCGGTCACCGGGCTGGAGGCAGGCAGTCACTGGCTGCAGTTACTGGATATACCTCAGAGCAAGCTGTTCCCCGCCCCCATGGGTACAACCGCCATGTAAGTTTTATTAATAACATATAATTTGACCGGTGTCTTGCAGACAGGAACACTGTGAGTCATGTGGCAGGCATGTCCTCTGGTGTCTGAGCTCAGGATGGGGCACCAGGTGCCCTAAGAGCCATAGCATGAAGAACTGTCTTGGCCAACTCCAACCTCCAGCCCTCTTCACAGGCCCTGGCACGGAGTACAGAGTTGTACTAAAGAGCACAGTGGCCAAGTTCTAGCAGCAATCTGGGGAACAGTGTCACACATAGGGCGGTGCTTCAGGAAACATACCTAGATGGCAGAACACATTTATCTCCAGGTTGGCAGACGATGGGACCAGGGGAAGGCCCAGGGCATGGCCCACCCACAGATGGCAGGATCAGGCAGCGTTGAGAGCTTGCTCAGGTCGTTTCTTTCAACCCTGGTTTCCTTTTCTCTAAAAGTATTATAGGCAGCTCGGTTAGCTAAAAATTCATATAAAAAAAAAATCTCTATACAGTCAGACAGGGTTGGGCCCTCAAGGAAATGATCACCAAAAAATAGACATCAGAATTGTGACCAGAGATCAATTTAAAGAGAGCCAGACCTCAGGATGGAGACGCAATATCCAGGCCTGCAAAGTAAACAGCAGATTTAGATTATACTGTGATTAGCACCACTTGGTCCAGTGGGCCCAGATGGGCATCAGACGTATAGGTGGGGACCAGAACATCCAAATCCATACTCCCCTCCCTTTTTAGTTACTTTTCTTGTTGCTGGGACAACATATTAGACACAAGTTAAAGGAGGAAAGGTTTGTTTTAGCTCAGTTTGTAGAGGTTTCAGTTCATAGTTGGCTGGCTCCAAGGCAGGGCAGCAAGGCAGAGGAGAAACAGTCCATGGCAGGGCAGGCAGGAAGCAGCAGCAACAGCAGCAGCAGCAGCAGCAGCAGCAGTGAGCTTTCTTTCCCTTTTATCCTATCTAGGCTATAAGCCTGTTGGTGGCATCACCCACACCCAGGGTGGGCCTTCCTATTATTCACACCCAGAACTATGCTAAACCAATCAATAGACTAATTTAGTTATCACATACCCTTTTTTAATAATCACATTCCCTTAATCCATATACACACCAGATCCAACCACCTCTCAGAAGCCCCACTTAATGGCACATGAGGAGACATCTAGATACAAGTCATAATACCTAGTGCCTCCCTTCCCCAAAATGTCTTTGTTCTTTCCATGTGTCAGTTGCTGTATGACTTGTTTCCCTGTTGGAGCTATGTCAAGTGACTATAGTTGTAATCCTGTAGATTGGTTGTAGTCTGACCCATATTGTACGCACATTGTTTGTTTATTTTTTGGTACTGGAGATCGACTAAGCACTTAAACTCCTGAGCTATCTCCCCAGCCCTCTCCTCACACTTTGATTTCATGGTATAAATTACTCCTCCAGTGGCTACCCAGGACCCCTCCGGGAAATCCAGGAGCTATTTTCTACTCTTTTCTTTCAATAAAACTCTCCTAACTTGCTCCTTTGGTTTGCAACTTCAATCCTTGTCCTTGTGAGACCACGCACTTAGCACATTTGACTGGCTCTAAGGCAGGACAGCACGGCCAAGGGAATTGTACATTTCCTATATCAAAAGAAAGAAGCAATAGTGATCACAGTGATTCTCCTACCTCAGCGTCCTAGCTGCCTCTTGCATTGCTGTGGGAATCATAAAAGCTCTCTTTGCAAAAATGTGGACCATTTACAAACGTTCTCTGTGCCAGGACTTGCTGGCTCCAGAAGTGCTATTTGCCTTCTTTAGCTCCTGAGGAAACATAATTGTGTGACTTTGTAAATGTTTAACACTTTCAGGGGTATTTGCAGTTTTGGGGTGTGTGTGTGTGTGTGTGTGTGTGTGTGTGACTAGAGAAGGAACACAGGGACTACACACATCCCCAGCCATTTTTTGTTTGGTTTGGTTTGGTTTGGTCTGGTCTGGTTTTTGCTGTTCTTTCCGGGACTCAGCTTTTTCCTTTTTGTTTTAAATTAGATTTCATTGGTACACTGTAAATACGCGTATCGATCACATTCCATTATTCCTTTGGTTTTTGAGACGGGGCCTCACAATGTAGTCCAGACAGGCCTCAAAATTCATGATAATCCTCATGCCTTAGCCTCCCAGGTGCTAGGATAACGGGCATGTGCCACCATGTCTGGCCCCAGCTTATTTTCCAGTTTTTGCTTGGGTATAAGTTTGCACTAAGTTACCCACCCTATCCTTCTGCCTCAGTCTCCAAAGTAGCTGAAGTTACAAGCATGTTCCATCATGCCTGGCTTTTTATTTAGTTTGTGGCAGTCTGGCTTGGATTTTACTGGGAGCTTTGTTTTACTTGGGGTTTGTTTGTGCCAGTCTGGCCTTGAATTCAGTCCTGCTTTTTCTCCTTCAAGTATTTATATCTTAAAAGCGAACGAGTAAAGATGAAAACTTCAGAAATACTATTGGTCTCTGTGTGTGTTTGTTTGTTTGTTTGTTTGCTCTTTTTGAGACAGGGTCTCGCTTTGCAGTTCAGGCTGGCCTTGAACTCACTTTGTAACCCATGCTGGTCTCAAACTCACAATGATCCTCCTGCCTCAGCCTCCTGAGTGCTGGAATTACAGGTGCGTGTCACCACACCCAGCAAACTGATGGTCTTTTATGCCCTTGGACTTGTAAGTAGCCATTTACTGGGCCAGGCATGGTGGCGCACATCTGTAATCTCAGCACTTTGGAAGACTGAGGCAGGATGGTCACAATAAGTTCAAGGCCAGCTGGGATCATATATTGAACTCAGGCCAGCCTGAACTACATACTGAAACCCTGCCTCAAAACAAATAAGCAGGGAGCTGGTGAGATGGCTCAGTGGTCTAAAGCACCTACTTAGAACAAGCTTAGCAAAGCACAGGGATCGCAGTTCAATCCCCCAGCACCACATGCCAGCCAGCCCCGCCCCCTGGTGGGCTGAGCTGGCCACACACACACACACAAATAAATAAATAAAATTTAAAAACAAATAAGCAAAGACCCATCTACTTGCATCATTCCAATGAAGAGGGGTTCTGAAAATGTTCCCTAAACAACTAGGACTCAGACTTCTTCCCACCTCCTACTCAGCCCAAACTTCATAAGAAACAAAGTCCATCTCTAGTCCAGCACTCCTCTTGTCATAGATTCAACTCTAGTCTAGCCCAGAGCACTTACTCTATGTATGGCACAAGTAGGGCATTCAAGGCAGCTGGCAGGGCTGGTGCCAGCCCCCCCTTCAACCCTCAAGCTTGGGGCCAGAAGAGAAGAGACAATGTGCTGCTTCTTGGATCATCCCACCATCAGACCTCAAGACCCCCCCCGGACACCAGCCTCATGGTCTGCTGTCCTGGTGAATAATGGCTCAGCCTTGCTAAGTGTGACCCAGTAGGAGAAAAGCAGAGAAGAAAAGGAAAAAAACCAAAACGAGCCCAGTGGGGCTCATGCCACTGACATTCCAGCACAGGGTTTCCTTTTTGATCACAGAGTGGTCCCATCAGCACTGAAGAACCGGACACATATCACAAAGCAAGAACACACCATGCCACAGACGCGGGACACCACAGGCAGCGCAAGGCTCCACCATGAACAGGGGTGCCGACCGATGCCAAGAACAGGAGCGGGAGGCAGAAGACCTGGCCTCGGGGCCTGGCTCCACATCCACTGCTGAGGGTCCATGGCAGATTCCTTAACCCAAGGCTCAATCCTCTCATCCACACAGTGGGATCACGGCAGGGTTAGCGTGGATCCCCCGCTCGAGATGATGACCGTGAAGCGTCGGGGCATGGAAAGCATGATAGAAATATTTCATTAGACACACATTTCCTCACTTGATTGACCTAGGACTTACCATCACCTGCCACCGATTCCCCAAAGCTGATAGGCCTCTCGCTAAGAGCTTTGAAGCCTTGCTCAGAGCCCAGGGAATGAGGCGGCAGACCCAGACACTCACACTGTGTACTGTATAAATATAGGTTTTATTAATAATGGGTGAAATCCCACCAATACAACTGGCATCTCTGTGTAAGGAGCATCAGGGAAGAGGGGAGGTGTGTGTACAGGGGCAAAGGGAAAGTCCTGGGAGGGGAAATCAGAATGACCCTGGCCCTGCAGCAGAGCCAGGCGCGCTCTAGGACTGTCTACCCCTACGGGCCCAAGGCTCTTCTGACGCCAGGGGCCACCCACTGATGGGAAGAGCAGGTAGCTGGGCAAGGGGCAGGACAGGGAGAATTCCAGCTTAGAGCCACAAAAGGAGGGCTGTGGGGTGGCAGGGACCATGGCCAACTTATGCCCCTGCTTGTGCTTGTTGGCTTCTGAATGACTTCAGGAGGCTTGTGCCCAGTGCTACCCCAGCTTGGGAGGGAGGGAAGACTGAGGGGTAGATACCTCTAGATCCTGGAGTCACCTGGGCAGCACCAGCCCCATCCTTAGCATTTTCAAGGAGGAGGTTGGCACCACCCTCCCATAACACCCACTGCTGCCACCATGCCACCTCCACTCTTCCTGTGGGCTGTCAGGGTGGAGCCTGTGGAAGCTGGGCTTGCCTGTTCGCAGGGAGGGCCCATGACCTGGGGTGGGGGATGACTGTGTGTCAGGAGCAGCAAGAAGGGAAGGCTGGGTTTTCCCCCACTCACCCTCCAAAATAAAGTGCACTCTCCAGTTGCAGTGGCCAATGGGGGAGAACCACAGACAGTATTGCAGGATGCCCCAACCCTGCCCCCAACCAAGGGCATAGGGAGGGGCACGGAACACCCCATGGCCTCTTCAATCCCAAGAATTGGGAGTGGTGACTCAGACAGAAAATCCAGCTTCTGTCCCTGCAGATTGTCCACGTCAGCCAGGGTCTGGAAGTGGGAGAGAGGTAGGAGGAAGAAGAGACTTCCAGAGTCCCTCTCCGCTCTGTCACAACATACAGGATGAAACTCCCAGGGGACTCCCAGGGCCCAGCCCTGGCACTCCAATCTTATAGCAGCCTGGTTTACAAACACTGGTGCGGCGGGGACCCCAGGAGGGGGCCACTTTGGTCGGCTGTAAGTGGGGGCCCAGAGAGGCTGCAGCTTCCAGGCAGACAACAGAGGGCAACACCACAGACAGGAAGGAGGATGGTGGCCTCCCAGAGGTCTTTGCATGCAGGTGGAGGAGAGAGGGAGGAAGCTACAAAGAGCATGACCTTGGAAAAGCTCCTGGGCATAGTGGGTGGCCCAGAGTCCCCACACCAGGGCCACGGCTGGCAGCTAGCGGCTGGCAGTGCAGTCCAACAGCCAGTCTGGAGTATTTGAGGGCCACCAGTGCCCAAGTCTACAAGGTTAAAACAGTCCCAAAGGGCTGGGCTGGGGATTTTCTGCTGCGGGGGCTGGGCAAGGCCAGGGCAAGGCTCTATCTCTCAGACTTGACCCGGTAACGGAGCACAAGGTATGCCAGCAGCCGAAGGGCCAGGAAGAAGATGCCTAAGACCAGGAAGTCCATGTAGAGCTTGGCATCCTCCACATCCAGCGCTTGTAGGATGCTCTGTGGGTCCTGGAACTGGCAAGATTCCTCTAAGCATGACAGCTGCTCACGCTCCATGCCATAGATGGTCAGGATCACCCCCTCAAAGCCATACCTAGGTAAGCAGGGGCATCAGAGTGGGACCTGAAGTGCACAGTCCCTGTGCCCTCAGCAAATCACCAGAGCCCAGCTGTATCACCCTCATCTCTGCCGCCAGCCAAGGTGCCCCTGTCCAAGAGGTGGCAGCACCAGACCTGGTACAGTGGAGGAAGCACTGGGCAGAGCCTCCGGGAGGAAGGGCAGGCCAGAGGGAAGAAGCGCCCACCTGACATAGGAGAGGTAGGAGCTCCACTGCAGATACGTGGGGATGGTCTTGAAGCTAACAAAGAATCCAGAGAACAAGAGGACAGGGATGGCAGTTACCGGGCCCACAAAGGTGGCTACCTAGAGGGGAGGTAGAGAGGCCAGGCCGTCACAAGGGTCACCAGGACTCAGGTGGCCCCAGGGTGTCCCAGAAGACCATACCACCCTTGATACCAGCACTGGTTCTCCCGTAGGACTCTACCCCTCAGAGTCCTCATGTCTTCCCACCTGTAGGGAGTTGGAAGCAGCTCCGATCAACAGTCCCAAGGACTGGGCCACTAAGGCAGTGGCAGTGGCCAGTGCTGAGAAGAGCAGGAACCGGCTGGTCTCGGCTGGCTGGCCTGTCATCCAGTACACAATGCTGCAGTACGCCACGGGGCACACCACCTGGGGGGCAGGCACGAGGCTGGGCAGGGTCAGTGAGCCAGGGCCACAGGCTGAAAGCCCTCAGCTGGGAACAAACCTCTAGAGGGCCTGTTCCTGGGGTGTCCATGCCTGTCCTACTGCATCCCTGGTCCTTTTGCGCCCAGGTGGACACATCTCCTCGCTCTGCAACCCCATGAGCTCCTCTCCCATGAAGCTCACTCTGGCCTCCTCAGAGCACCTCGGGGCCTTCCCATCTGATTCCTTACATAGTTAGTAGATTAATTTTCTCTGGTACCCTGTTTTGCTCCCCCTTGAGATTATCAGCTATGTGGTACAAGGAAACAGATAGGTAGGATCAGCAACTCTAGAGAACTAATGTATACCATGGGACCATTGTTAATAAAATTACAGGAATTTCCTAATAAAAATTAAGAATTTTTGTTACACATCTTAGTTGCTCTTATCAAAAATATAACTAGTGTTGAAACACGTGGTAATTTGCTTCATTTTATGTATCCATAATACCACCTTATGAGCTTGAAGTGGAAACTATGATTTACTGTATTTGGGGAGAGGGTCTTTATTTCTTTTCTATTCAGACAGAATTTCACTATGGAGCCCAGGCTGGCTTCAAACTCTCAGCAATCCCGCTGCCTGAGCCTTCTGAGTTCTGGGATTACAGGCATTTGCCTCTGTGCCTGGCTTGTATTTGTCTCTGTGGTGCTGGGAATCAAGTGCCGGGCTCCTGGATGCCAGGCAAGCACTTTGCCACTGAGCTGCATCCAGTTCAAACTTAATTAGTTACTTTTGCAATGCTGGGGATTGAACCCAGAGCCTTCATAAATTTTTATTTATTT